ATTTTTTTTTTTCTAATTCATTTGGAGATTCTAGTTCTTCAATAATAGGAGTAGATTTTTTCAATTGTGACCTTACTTTTTTTTTTAGCTGAGCCATCCTGCTACCTGTTGGCAGCTCAGCGGCTGCTCAGCTCGGGCTGGGAATCGAACCGCTGTTGCTCAGAGCTCAAACTCTTGAGCGAGCTCTTAACCAACTGAGCCACTCAGCCAGCCCTATGACCTTACTTTTAAGGACATTTCTCAGTTTGAAATATGGCAGTGGTTGGGGGAAAAAAAAAAAAAGATAATACTTTTCCTCCTGCCTTCTAAGTTCTAGCAGGGCTAATAGTCAAATTAGCAGAGGCAGATTAACAGGAGGAAATCAAATGTTTAATACATGCACATGGGGAATTCACATAAGCGTGACAATTCCAAAGACAGTGAGGCAACATTGGGTATCTAAGACATTTTTGGACAAAGGAGAAGGGGGAAAATGGGTATTAGATTTCGGAAGTGAGAATGGGTGATTTTCTGGTAGTTGAGGGGTAGTTGAGGAAGAGCCCAACTAACATGGCAGGAACATTCTTACTGGGCAACTCAGAAACAATGGGATATGGGGGTTATCTAGCTAACAGGCTTGTATTGGAGTCTGCCTAACTGATGCTGGGATGAAGATTCTTACGGTGATTAAAGCCAAGGCTCCCTTCCCAAGGCAGATTTTTCTGCCTGAGTCTCTTGGGCAGTAAAGCGGGAGAGTCAAAGGATCTTTCTGAGTCTTACTGCTTAATAAACAACTTAAACTCAATATCCCCAAAAGTAGCTTCAGGGTGGCAAAGTTTTGGTTCCCTTCAGGGGAAACAAAACTAATATTTAGCTCTAGTCTGATGTGAAATATCTTATTAAACATGAGCTGAGAATGCTGCAGCAATTTCTTTACAGAGGTTAACTTGTGCTTTTTTCTTAACCTACATGATGTTAAAGAAAGTGATGTGGGGATTGAATAAATGTTTATGGGGTGTCCTTGTATACCAATTCCTCTAAATATTTGTTAAGCAAACAAATAACACCAGGTGTTGAATTACTTAACATTATACTTATAATTTATTTCTCTCTTAAAACATTTTATTTTCCTACTGATTGGGTATATATATATATATATATATATATATATATATATATATATATTCCATAACTTTGAAAGTCGTGAAGGAATTTTGTGTTAGCTTTCTTTGAATTAGAAATAAAATGGAATTGAAAGTTATGCAAAAAAAATGCTAAGAATATCTACTAAATTCCTTTGGATTATTATTATATTTTAAATGGCAGTTACTCTTTGTTTCTTACTGCACCTGACACATAATGATTTATTGTCTAAATACTAATCATTTTTATAGCCTTTTCCACAGATGTTTCTCTCATGGTGCAAAACTGAACAAGACAGCAAAAGGTGAAGAGAAATGTTGACAGTTAATTGCTTCCTGGATATAATGCAATTATTGTCATCAGCAGGTGGTACATTTACTAATACTCTGAAGTTTTACAAGTCAGCTGTGCACTTGGAAATACAGGGCAAAGTTGCAGCAGTGTTTCTGCTGATTGACTGAGACATATGACTGAATGCTAGGCAAAGAGACTCTTCAAGTCCCAAAGAAAAGCACCATTTTCAGAGTCAATCTGATGAGAATGGAATTGAAAATGGGACAAATGGAATTTGGTATGAAGAAAACATTAGCATCTAATACAGCAACTGTCCCACAAAAATATAATATGAACCACATATGTAATTTTAAATGTTCTCATAGCCAGCTTTAAAAGAGTAAAAAGAAGCAGGTGCATGATAATATTAGTAACTATTATATCACCTGATATAGTCACAATATTATCGTTTCAACCTAACATTTCAACGTTGTAAAAAGTTGTGAATGAGATATCTAACACTTTTTTGCGCACACTAAGTTTTTGAAAGCCAGTGTTTCCAGCATACATCTCAATTTGGCTTAGCCCCATTTCAAATGCTCTGTAGCCACACGTGGCTTGTGGATATTATACTGGATGAGTAAGGTAAACACACCCTCAGTGAAGTTATTTATAGGGTGAGATGACACTTTATGGGGAACACCCTAGTTGGAAGGGAGAGTGACTAGTTATTTGCTGATGATGTTCAGCTACAGTCCCTAAATCTTAGGTACAGGATCATTACATAGTACCTTTAAAGTGGATTTTAATAATGTATTTATAAGAATTATTAAATTTTCATAAATTGTCATAACAAGATACATTCTTTGCAAACTTAGATTGTAGGATGTAGGATGTTTAATTAAAGTCAAAGTGAGATTTTTATTCTTTTCTGGGGGGAAAATGTAACATACATTTTAAACCATGCTGTGTCTTACTACGTCAAAAGCAGTCCCAATTATTTGTTAAAATCTAACCTGGAAATATTATCCTCCTCTATTTGGTTTAGAATACAAGTTGGTTAGAACTGAGCTCCCTACTATTTCACTCAACACTTGAGGGCGCTGTAGGTCACCGTGGTGTGGAATAGAGAGTCCACTCTGTTACCAGCCCTGGTGTGGTAGGGATGTGGCATAAGGTCCTTATCCAGTTTGTTTGCGACCAACTCAATGTTCTGGTTAATTTATGCAGATTCCTCTGAAGTCACAAATCCCACAGTGACTCCCACTTCCCATCAATGTATCCATTCATTGGCATCCTTGGCCAGGAATGGCCTGTTCTCTTCATGCCGTCTCCTTTGATGACTTCTTCAGCCTGTCTCCCCATCTTCTTCACCTACTGAGACACACACCCAGCAGCTGACTGTGCTGCAGCTGCTGTTGTGCAAGATTTAGACATTGTTCTTCTCTGGTTCCCTCATCCTAACGTGCACTTCTAAGGAAACCAGCCTGTCAGAACGAGGCCATCTGCCTCCTCAGAGAATTGGGGAGCTACACTGAGGAACCCCCATCCCTGGTCATCCTTGTGCTTGGGAAAGTCACCTCCCCTTTGAGAATCTCAATGTGCTCATCAGCAAAGTGAGAGGCATGGACCCGGTGATTTCTAAGTACCTTCCACTTCTAATGATTATAAATCATTTAAAAAGTAAGAATTTTAGTCGGGTGCAGCCAGCTATTCCTTCTAATAAGGAAGAGCAGTTCGATGTAGGATATGGCCGACCCACTAACATTATGTCAATCAGATTAAGTAGAAGCTTCCTAGAAACTGCGTGATATTTCATGACTTGAGTAGGGGTTTTAGGGGTAGCAGTACATCGTGTGTTTATTAGTCTATAAATGTCAATGTTAGCAATTATAGAACTTGTTGTATTGCAGTAAAAGGAGAGCTGTTTATATAATTAAATTTCTTTTCCCTTTACTTTTTAACAATTAGGATTTTTTATTTAAAAAATTGTTATTATATAATTTTAGACTGACAAGAGAATATATGTAGCATATGTGTGATTTATGAGACAAAATGAACATGGTGAGCCCAGCATTCAGCTTTAGAATTGAAACTCTCCCACACCTTGTGTCTGCCTGTTTTCCTCCCCTCTCCGATGCCTGCCTTTCCAACCAACACTTGTGCCCTTTACCCTGAATTTTATGTTTATCATTCATGTTTTTGAAATATATGATTTTATCTCATATGCATGATTCCTAAGGAAAGACTGCATAAATTTTGAGTACTCTGTTCTGAAAGTTTAGCAGAATTTGTCTATAAAACGCTCAGATCTTGGTATTTTCTTGGTGGAAAGACTTTTATCCTATAATGAAATTTATGTAAGAATATAGAAACTTCTTTGCAGTCTGTTAAGTTATATTTTTCTGTGAATTTCTTCACTTGGTGTCTTGCTGGTCATCCTATGTTCACAGATAATGGGCTTACCTGGAGGTTTCTTAATGTGCTTGTAAAAGCCTTGAAGTAGGAGCATTTTAGGCTCTTTATCATCTATTTTCATCTTTTACAGGTAATATCTGTTCACAGTCTGATCAGGTAGACAGTTGGTCAAGTTAATGCAAATGCAAGTTCAGCTGAGTGTCCTCGCAACTAATTTTTCAAGAAAGATATTTTTTTCTAGAAAGATATTTTTTGTCTACTCAAAGCTGATTGTCTTACATTTTTAATGATAATACGTGGGACATTTTTTAGCCACCCACTCCACCCAGTGTACCCAAATGTATAATGAATATCATTGACAGTTTGATGATTTAGCAACACAAAATACCCACTGTTTTTATTTTGAAATTGTATTATATGACATGGTACTGCAGCTTATACAAAAAGGCATTTAAAAAGACAAAAATACAAACTAACAGTAACAACTTTAATTTAAAACCTTTTTATTTCTTTTTAATATTTTATCTTCTAAAATTTAAATGAGTAGAAATAAACATTCTTGTTAAGTGTGAACCTTCTGGATAATCTAAATTTCCATGTAAAGGGGTATGAAGGAAATGTAGTTATTCATAGATCTGCCAAAAGAACAGATTATAGTAATTAACTATCTGATTTGTCCACAGCATTAAAGACTGTCCACTTGTTAAGCATGTTCAAGGCCAAGTGTAATTACACACAATGATGCTCATCCTATGAGTGCATTATTATATGATATATATACTGGGGGTGCCAAAAAAATGTATACAAGTGGACACTTTGGTCAACATTGCTCAAGCAGTAGTTTGCCGTAATCAGAAGTGTTCGGATGCTGATGGTAACCACTTTGAGCACCTCTTGTAATTGCAGAAGTCAAACGTGACTGGTATTCATCTTTTGTTATTGGTATATATTGAGTATTACNTGACTGGTATTCATCTTTTGTTATTGGTATATATTGAGTATTACAATTTTAATAGTTTTTTCCTTTCTTAAAATGTGTATACATTTTTTGGCACCGTGTTTGTGTGTGTGTGTGTGTGTGTGTGTGTGTGTGTGTTTATTAAGTGTAATACAGCCTACAATTCAAGTTTTCATGAAGTGTTAAGCTGAAACTTGAAACATACTGATAGTTTGAAAATATTTTGCAGGAAGAAGCTATTTGTTTAGGTTCTGAGGTAGATGAACATATTAGCTGGTTCCAGCAAGAATATATGAAAATAGAAAAGGACTGGAGAGAAATCGATAAGAGAATGAGCCAGACTTTGCAAATAAGAAGGAAGTTGATTGGAAGCAGAACACCTCTGAAGGACATTCTTAATATGTTTCCTTTCTTGAAGTGCCCTTATCAGGTATCTTTATTCACTTATAATCATCTCTGATTGTAGGATCAAAATAGAGTTTTCTCTCTTTTCTCTTGGAGTGGTGACAGTGCTATGTAGCAAGTTCGTGGGTATGAATCTCAGTAGGGTGTGAGGCCCCAGGGGCTACAAGTAGGACAATTTGGTAAGAACTTCTGGAAGTATATTCTGATAACACACACTGGCTGCCTTCAGATTTAAAGAGTTCCCGTCATTGGACATATTGGGAGGTTGGGGGTGGGGACACTACTTAGGGGTATTTTTATAGTGTGAAACATTTTTCATTTGTATGCATTTAGACAATCAAGATATAAGTTTATTAAAAAACTATTAGTAGGCAACATTACTCAAAATCTATTCCTTTCATGATCCCAAATCATTTCATCAAACGGTCTCAAAATATATGAAGAAGTTTAAGGAGTAATTCAAATACCCTGCCATTTAGTTTACTTAAGGTGGCCATTGAAGGGTCTTATTACAATTTTAGTGTAATTTTAGCTATAGTATATAATGAAAGAGTCATCAAGAGTTTTTACCTGAGAACACATTTCATGGAAGAATTCTTTGGGTGCAAGCAACCAAATTGAAAATGGAAAGTTTCACATATATTTCTTCTTCCAAAAAAAGAAAAACTAAAAGAATTTGCTTGCATGTTTTATTTTAATAATAATGTTTATAGAAAACATCTGAGCTTACTAAGTAGCAGGCATGTTCTTAGCACTGTACATTGACTATTTTATCTGTTCCTCTCAGCAACCCTACATTGATTTTTGCTTGCTTTCTTTTAATATTTCGGTTCCTGGGAATAGTAATAGCCAGTAACCTCCAGCCATTAGAAAAGTATATCAGATTGACACAGCTACAAAATATAGTTTTCAGGCAAAAATTTTTCAAACTGAAAGTCTATAAATTCTTTAAATGTAGGGAACATGTTTTAAACATTTTAGCATAATAGTTCCCAAAGTGTCTAGCAGAGCACTGTATGCAATACAAATTTGAAATGTTGATTTTTTGAATGCCAAATGAGTAGTGGATGATTGGTGTCTTAGTCTGTTTGGGATTCTATAACAAAAATACCACAGACAGCATGGCTTGTAAACAACAAAAAATTATTTTTCACACTTCAGAAGGCAGGAAAGTTCAAGATCAGGGCACTGGCAGATGTGTTGTCTGGTGAGAGCCTGCTTTCTGTTTCACGAACAGTGTTCTGTAGCTGTAACTTCACATAGCTGAAGGGGCAATTTGGTTTCCTGGGGTCTTTGTACTCATCCCATTCATGGAGACTCTGCCCTCACGATGTAATCACCTCCCAAAGGCCACACCTCCTAATACCATCACATTGGGCATTAGATTTCAATATGCAGTTTGGGGGACAGCAACATTCAGCAGTTGATAAGGCTGCCCTGTCACTGATGTTGCAGCCTTAGGAGGTATTCATTGAAGTGTAGCTTGCAAAGGTTTAGTGATTAAAATAGAACTATGTTTCAGTGATCTTACAAAAAAACTGTGGATAATAGTAAGTCTGAGGTCCATTACTAGCCCTAGTGTGAAGTAGAGAGGAAATTTCAGACCTAAGACTGTAGCGCTCATGCTTTGTCAAAGTCTCTGTCTTTCCCTTCGATCCCCCAATTATTCAGCCCTTTATATCCAAAATATGGATTGGGGTATGGTTTTTGTAACGCGTGTACTTACTGAATAAAGTTGTCTGTTTCTTGTTTTAAAAGAGCTAAACATTTTCGTCTTCTTCCAGAAATACCTCCCTAATTCTGCCTTGTGTAGCTAGCTGGGACTTACAACTGATTTAAAAACCCTTGTTGTACATGCTAAAAAAAATGTAAGCTTGACCTTATTTACAAATGTCCAGTTACCAAACAGCCCCTATGGTGGGACAGATGTCCCTGCCACTTGTCGCTGCTACCATTGTCACAACACTTGGAGCCTTGGGAACTGTGGACACAGATGTGGCAGAAGAGAAGCAGCTGGTGTGGGAAGCTGGTTCTACAAGTTCTCCATCACCACCTGCACTCATCAACCTCCTCCCCTCAAGAAACTTTCAAAAGAAAGTTTTAAAGTCTAAAATTAAGAAATATATACTTTATTAGACTATGTAAAATATTATCAGCTAGGAATGTGTTATTGTGATCTACTGGTTGGGGCACAAGACAAGGAGGAGGGAGTTGAGGAGGGGAAAATGCCAAATTCAAATGTAAACAATTCTCAAAATTTTCTAATAAATCCTTTGAGATGCTAGTTTTCATGTTACTGACAAATTATTCCACCAATCTTTTAGAACTTCAGTGAATATAAGAATCACCAGCTAATATAACTATTGGGTTGTCAGAAAAGTCATGATGTATTTTTTTCTATGTTTTTCGTTGCAAAATGCATCATGACTTTTACGGCAATCCAATATAATATATATTAATAAGTATAACATACATATTAATCAACTTTACAGTAGAGAAACCTGGCAGATTCCATCTTAACCAAATGATAAAAGTTAATATTTGCAAAAATGGGACCAATTACCATCTCATGCAGTGAAAAGTGTCAGCCTTCTTGCCAAAAATATATAAGGCATGAAAACATGTACACACCTAGACTGACAAAGTAATTGGCTTTTGCTTTTCAAAAATGGCAAGGAATATGAGGAAAATCCAAGAAGCTGTTCCAGACTGAAGGACATTAAGGGACACAATCCCTAAATCTTCCCTGCGTTCCTGAGCTAGATCCCGAATTTATAAAGAGTGTGATTGGAACAGTCGTCAGGCTTGAATAGATCCCGAATTTATAAAGAGTGTGATTGGAACAGTCGTCAGGCTTGAATGGGGTCCAGGGATTCCATTTTCCTGATTTCGATGGCTATGCTGTGGTTATACAGGAGAACGTCCTTGTACTGAGGAAATACACAGTGAAGACTTAAGGGGGAAGGGGCATCATGTCTATAGCTTACTTTCAAATGGATTGAAATGTTAGACTGGGAAAAGTTGCACAAAGGGAATTTGTGAGTTATGCTATTTCTGTAACTTTAATGTAAACTTGAAAATCATCGCCTATATGCACCCAGGAAAGTGGAGGAATATCCACCTTCTTCATGCTCCACTTTACAACTCCCAGCTGAGAGAAGCCCTGTGTAGGGTATTCATCTAGATTAGTGTGCCCCTGAGGTCTGCCTGATAACAGCCACTATGCCTTTGTGAGAATGTGCATTCCAGTTCCCCGATAACTTTTGGAACTTATCTTTGGGCGATAGATGATCTACCAAAATATTCAAGGAATGATGAGACCCAGTGGGCGGTATGCAACGTTCTGTACAAAGTTTTAGGTAAAGTAATGATAACATCTGTTCCTATTAGTGTAGGTGATAGTCTTGCAATAGCCACTCTGTCAAAAAAAAAAACGTAGGTGGGGGGACAGTGGTGGTGGAATTCCCTGAGGGTCAGAGTTTAGGCAGTGGCGAGGAAAGGTGGTTTTGAGTAAAGGGGATTCAATAAGCTGGTTTTGCTTTCATCTTGTAGTCCAATCTTTCATGGACATTTGTTTTTTAGTTTCTGTCTGATCGTACAGAGTCTCTAAACCTCTCTCCTCTCCCTTTAAAATACTAACTGTAGGTATTTTACAAGGTTTGCCTCCTAAAATCTAAGTTTTCTTCTTTTGCCTCTTTTTGGATGTTGCCAAAACCAAAGTGTAGTTTACCTAAAGAAATGTAAGATCCTAGAATCTTAGCTGGGTAACCCAAATGGCCAAAATATGCATAGCTACTTTGAAACCCTCATTTAATTGAGTCTGCATCCAAAGTTTTAATTCTATGGGCTTCGAAGTTTCCATGTCCATTATTTATCTTTTTCTATTCACTTCAGGCTCTCATACTTTTGTCCTCCTCTGTCCTAAATCTTTGCTTCTCCACTAAATCTACTCAGGCATCTAGTATATATTTTAAGCTACATTCAAAGTTAATACGATCCTAAAGTGTTATTTACTTGTTTATATTAGCTTTCCTAGTGATCTGATATCTTTTTCTTCTTTCAGTTGTTTAGAGAATTTCAACTTCTTACAAGAACAGATATTTATAAGAAAACAAAGCACATTTTGGAATCGTATTCAGAAAATATACTGACTTCTTTTTCAGTGGTGGACAATCCAATCAATATTGCACTGCAAGAAAACATGAAACAGCACACAGATGAAGACATGTTGAAATGTTAGTCAACCCGAGGAGTGGGTGATCTGGTGTCAGTTATCTGTGTAATTCAGGATAACCAGAAAAGTTCTGTTTGGGTAATAAGTAAATTTTAGTCAAACAAGATGTGGGAAAGAAAAAACAATTTCTCAAATAGGAGAAGTTGGGGTATAGGTTTTAGAAGTACTCTCAATATTGTAAAGTTATATTTCAAGAACCAGAAATCTGTTAATTTCATAATCCAAATCACAAGGTAAGGCTTGATAAACTCTCTCTGGCTGATGGGCAGAGAGTAAAGGATTTTTATCTTCTCCAGGCCGAGATTGGGAGGGCAGGCCATGGGATCTTGAATGTTTATTAAAAGGGGATGTTGGTGAAAAATGGTTGTGAAACACTGATCTAGGAAGGTTAGCTTGTTCTTTCTAGAAGGTAATGGTATTTTTAAAAATCCAGGTATTTTAATACTGGCTTTGCTTGCATGGTTGATGAAAGCTTATTTTTACTTGGACCATAAGCATGTTTGCTTTGACAGATATGAAGATGACAGCTACATGTTTACTCCTACCAGATGTTTTTGGGGATGATCCCAGCCTTTTTGTCATTGTGAATGAGAAGGTATGCACTCTACCAGTGATCCCTGGTTTCATATAATTTATTTGAAAGCAGGATGGTGGTCTGTTTGGAAGTATGTTTTGTCATAGTTATAAATGTGCTAAGTTACAGCAAGCTCACTTATTGTAGTGTCCTGATTAAATCCTGGCTCGTTGTGTTAGCTATTGTACACATCCCAGGGTGGTGACTCTATTCTCTATTTTTTTCAGGTGCAAGTGTCCACGCCTGTGTTAGAAGTTAAGAATCCTTTCAACATTGATGTCTGTGAATTTTCTTTGTATTTAGAAAAAGAGAGACTCACAAAAGTGGATGACTGTGTAACGGGCTTGGCGGCTCTCATAGCTGCCTTTCATGTATTTGGGATCCAGTGTCCCACACGATTGTCCCAAACCCTCAACTTCCTGGAGACATTAATTTTTGATATGCACAGTCCCCACTTTCCATCTATGAAAGAAAAGGATGCAGGATTTCAACACCCAGTCAGTTAACAGCATGCCAAATAATGTATCAAAATTCCTATCTGGAACAGCTGAAACTTTATAAAAAACATTTTGAATTAGGGTTGCGGTACAGTAGATATTAGAAAATCATCTTATTTCAAAGATGCGAATGAATTTCAATGCCTTCTATGTTTACACTTAAATTCTTTGTTAAATTCTGTAATATACTACTACTTAATTAAAGAGCTGTTTCTGTATTTTGAGTTCTAAGAAATTTCATGGTCCGAGTTATCCTTTCAGGGGTGCATTAGTTTTTAAAACACACTACAGTACAGATTTGCTCAAGTCCTTTGGTTCCGGGTGTGACCTTGCACTTAATTCAATGTGCCCACCTTTGAAAGACTTACTGCCCAGGAAGGAGCTGCACTGTTGGGGGCCATGGGCTGCCTCTTTGGTCTGAACATTGCTAGGAAACATTCTGAATTTGAACATTTTAAGATGCACATACTCCCCAGTTCCTTTTCCCCCCACATTACCTGCCTGGCCCTGGGAGTTTGGTTTCCTTCAATCACATTTGCTGAGAATGAAGACTGCTTCACGCCTCAGGGTATGAAGGCTCCTCACTGCCGGGTGACCTCGGCGGCTTGGGTTCTGTTTGTCCTTCCACTGCCTCCCTCCCTTGAGGTGCAATGCCACACACCTGGTTCCTGTCTTCCCGCACAGGTTCTGGTACTCCCTGGTTTTGACCTCCACTGTGAACCTGGTTGCCCCTCAGGCTTGTTTGGAATCTGCACTGCAGACCATGCTTTTGCTCCCAGGGCCACTTGGGCTCCAGCTTCCAGTGTTCAGGAAAGGGTCCTTCCTACAGCTGCTTTCCAGCCTCTGTCAAGAGTCCTAGTCCTGGTTCCTCGTCCAACCCACGGTCCCATGCCGTAATTCATCCAACACAGTTTTAAGGTGCCCCTTTATGTCATTATCATAATATCAATGTGACTTATTAGTTTTGATAGAACAGGTTAGTTTAGACTGAAGAAACTTAGGCGTGCTAATACTTGCATCACAAGGCAATGAGCATTTCTTGGGTTACTTCATCCAATTAAAATTTTTTTAAAGTTTAAGAAGGGGTTCATATAAATTATTGAAAAAATATTTTTATAGCATACATCCCCATACATCTCTGACTGTTCATTAAAATGCGTAGGTCAGTGACATGCAGGAAAGAGTAGGTGCCTTCCTCTACTACGACTATGCACTGGCTGCTTGCAAGGGAATGGACAGGCAGAGGAAATCATGTCGTTCTCGCATAAACCAGTTCCCAGTCCAGGTTCCGTTTCTTCCCTTTCACTCCAATGCGCCTTTAGTTCCTTACAAACTTTCCTTTATTTCCCCCAATTATCATCCCCTCCCCCCGTGTTTTTTAAGCTTCACAATCTGCCTTGTTTCTCTTCTTCCAAACGAGTTTACCAAATTCTTAGAGATTCCGTTCTTTAGGAGGTTCACAATCTTTATGGTGAAAGTTGAATAAAAGCCTCTGTTACATCACTGGGGTGGATTGATGGGAAATTACAGCAGTTTGGCTCCAAACACGACAGACATGAGCTGGTCACGAGGGCAGATTCTTGTAAGCTTTCTTGTCTTTCAATGGTGTGTCTCTCGCCAATCGGTAGCTTGACGGTGCCACTTCGTAAATGTTCACTATTACAGGACGAACCTAACCCTATTTTCTTTGGAGGCTAAATCCCTTGAATCTATTGTAGAAATTGCAAAATGGCAGCCTGGGCTCTATTTCAATCTGCCGAGAGGTCTCATTTGGCTTGCACAGTGTTTGTATTTTTTTTCCCTTTGATCTGCATTTTAGTTAATGTATTAAATACACAACACATTTAACATAAAAAAAAAGACATTCATATATAACATATGGGGTTTCCTGCCAATGGACTATGAGTGTTAGGCAGGCACCAAAAATGTCAAATTTTTTTTCTTTTAGCCTGTCTCACTTATACATCTTCAACTCTTCTATTTCTGCTCTACACGTATCAGCATTTTAATTAAATATTTGCACAGCTCATAGAAATTGTTGTGAACAGCTGAATTGGCGATGGTCCTGTCTGGCGTTCTTCATCGCATATTTTGTCAGTTATCTCACTAGAGCACTACAATGTGTAGTAGCATTTAAAAAGGGAGTTTCTATTTTAGCCACGAGAATTCATATTATATATACATAGTTATCCAAACTAAACACAAAACTATGATGTGAGAAGTTGAACAATAAAAATGCATTTTATTCTTAACGGTCACTGTAGAATAATATCACGCCATTTCCCCCTCCCTTTCGTCTTATCCCTCGCCTGCTTCTCACATTTCAGGGGCTCCTCTGCCATCACCATGGCCCGCTATTTCCTCTGTTGAGTCTTATACTCTATCCCAGGGAAGGAATGGTGAAGATTTCCCCTTTCTTGAGGAACACTGCTCCACTCTAAGGATGCTTAATGCCTTGCCTCTAATCGTATAACAAGTTGCTTAGAACGAGTAGATGTTTTTAATAAGATGTAAACGTCTCTTTTGTTATATATATATGCTTTAAACCAGACAGGGAAGTTCCTCAATAGGTATGATTCCTAATTGACCTAACAATACACCTTTTGAATGTTTTCTGTGTCGCTCTTCACCTCACCTGGGACAGAGTTTGACAAACAGTTCTGATCCTGCAGTCATCACACAGCTAGCTACTGCCCATGTGCTTGATGTGTTCCTGTTCTCATTTGCCCCTCCTGTTTGACAAGCTTTCTTAAAAATCATACGTATGTAAAAAAGTATCTGCAATTCAGACTTTATTTCATTCATGTCAGATGTAACAAGTGCAACTTCAATGTACAGATTCTGAACAAAACATAAAAAAAGGAAATAAAAACTAACAACAAAAAAACTTAGTTAAGCAGATTCATGCAAACAAATGAATGGGACACTGCAGATGTCACTGACCCTGTTTTTACCTTGAATTATGACAAATGCAAAGACTGCTAATAGACTTCCAACAGGGGACCTCAAAGGAAGTTCTACATCAGAAAAAATGAGAGCAACTAAAAAGGCTGTTGCAACTTTCTCCAGAATTCAGACAGCATGCTGCAAATTTACTTTCTACTTTTAAAATAGTCTGATCCTGGAGTTAGAAATGACATCCAAAGGCTAATAAAATAATTTAGCATTCGAGGGGGAATGCATTCTTGTAAAAGAAACACTACCAGCTATCATTTCATAGGTAATCAAGGGCTTTCGTTTAAAGTGCATCTGTATGCTTACATATTGAGGTGAACTGTTCCATAGAGAAAGGAATCTTTCCAAAACGAAGGTTCTTGAAGAACTGTTTTGGGAAATTGCCTCCCTGACCTGTGAGCATTTAGAATCTTTGTGTCAACTCATGTTGTTCCCTCACACCTTGCCTTTCCAGTAAAATCCACACTCTCTCTCATAGTCAACCCTGAAGAAAACCTTTGGGTTTGGAGGAAACAGAAACAGCTGAGACAGCTCTCTAGGGATTAGTGTTTCCACTGATAGGATGAGTCTTTCATCTATCTCTGAAAAGCACCAGTTACCTCAATGAGAATTACGGAGACGCTCAAGATAATCTCATAAATAGTTCAAGATCCTTACAACCCCCACCCCCCAAAAGGTAACTGCATATTCCACCATACCATTGGACTCTATAAGAGTCCAACACACAGGGCACCACAATGTTTCAGATTGATGCCATTCAAATACATCACCTAATTTATTTATGTTTATATATTTTATTTTTCAATTCCATTATTTATATACATATTTTTGGTAATTATAGTAAAGATGCTGGTGAAAGTAATTTAACATTACATAATACGTGCAAAAGCAAAAACACTTGATTTAAGGAAAAGTAATGTTTACAACTATTCAGCCCCAACAAATGATGACAAGCAGTTAGGCAATATCATGACTTGCGAAGTTATACTTAGCATAATGTTGCAATTCAAAATATGGCACAGAATTAACAATACAGATAACAGTCCCACTGGCTAAACCGAGCCAGGTTTTGACTAATTTGGTTTAAGTTGAAATTTGATTATATAAAAAGATTCCTGAAAGTATTGAAAAAGAAATAGTGTACATGAAAGAGAATTCAACAATGTTTACAAAACGCTGAAAGTTCTTACTCTTCCCCCCCTTATCCATAAATAATTAATGAAGAACCCCTGTCCCACCCACCCCCCAGCCTCAAAAAGATTTACAAAGATAAATTTAGCTCATTGAACAGAACCAAAAGATGACTGTTGTTAGACAGTACCTGGTTAAAAGCTCAAGCACTTTCATAAGAATTCATATATATTGTCTCTGGAGGAATATAAATAATCCGACAGCATTGCTCTTTTGAGTTTTGGAGACTTCTCACTTAGGAGTTAGAATTGTCCTTGTGCTTTGAATAAAACATGAGCTTTAAAGCAGAAAGCTGATTGTATTTAAAATTCACCATCTTCAAAGTTCATTGTGAGAATTCTTCTCTGCAGCTTTGAACATCAGGATAGAATTGAAAATTTTGAGAGCAGGGCCCAGCTTAATGCTCATAATTTTAACAATGTCTGTTTGGGTCATAAGCAGAAATGCTTCTCCATCAATTTGCTGAAATGGGAGAAAAAGACAAAAGACTGTGAATTAACCGGATGTAGTATTGTGGGAAACAGTCAAAGTTAAACTATCAACTTATATGTAGCAACAGTAAAACGGCACAGACAGGAGTTCATGTGTACAAACAACATCGTCATAAATGGATCCTCCTTATCTATAACACCACACCCAAATGTGGATTAGGGGCAAAGTAAAATCTATTCATCTGAAAAATCAGCTCAAAGGAAAACGGAAGGTGCTCATCCCATCCTGTGATTACTCTGACTTAGGTGCTGACTCAAGAAGAACATGGAAAATCTGGGGTGCCTCAAATTCAGTTCCTATCATGACAGGTTTTAGAATTAAGAGATGAGAATAAGGGGCCGCCTGAGTGGCGCGATGGTTAAGAACTGGCTTGGGACGTCAGAGGGCCCCGGTTCGGATCCTACATGTGAGGGCCAGTGACGCTGCCCTCTGCAGCTGGGATGCTGAGCAACGGCCCAGCCTGGAGCTGGGCTGCCGTGAGTCGCCGGCGAAGGTGTAGGCTGTAGCCCCTGCTGCAGTGGGTTTCCATGGGCTACTGTGTGTAGCCAGCAGCCAGCGTGAGCAGCCAGCAGCCGCAGTGAGCGGCCGTCCAGAAGCCGGCGACTGATCTGCCTCGCCAGGGAAGAGCGCAGAGATGGTGCCAACTTGGGCCGGTGGGGCAACACCTTCCACAACTAGACTGAAGAACAAAAGGACAGCAACTTGTCTGTTCCCATCCCCCAATTCCTCAATAAAAATCTTTAAAAAAAAAGATGAGAATAGGTACACAGATGTTTGTGGACATAAAAAATTCAGGTAAATGTATCTGCTACACACTAATAATATATATATATATATTTTTAATTAGCCTTCCACAATGGACAAAAAAAAAATCCACAATAACATTCATTTCTAGAGTGATCACAATTATGCTTCACATACAGAAGAAAAGTAGGTACTAACACGGGCAAACAACAGTGCAGCTGGAAGAACACGAGGCTGGTGTTAAGAGCTGTAAATTCTTGGTTCTACTACTTGGGGAACCATGAGAAACTCACTTCCTCTCTTTCTGTCTCTCCTAAGACTAAACGTCTATGCTGCCACAGAATAGTGTACTTTGAGGTTCAAAGACACAACTGTATGAAGATGATGTCTGGTTTAGTGGGCAGAGAAAAGGGGTAGAGTCTTTTTATGACTATTAGCTCTCGGGGAGTTCTACCATCTTAAAAACAAAATCAATCCACTTCTTTCAGTCTTCCCATTCGGCACAGAAAGTAAATCACGTGTTTGCTTCTGCTTTAGGATGCATTAGAAACTTGGAGAGCAAGGTACTATTATGGGTTGAACTGTGTCCCTCCCAAATTCACACGTTGAATTTCTAACCCCCATAACCTCAGAATGTGATCTTATTTGGAAACATTAATTGCAGATGGAGTTAGCTAAGATGAGGTCACACTGGAGGAGGCGGGGCCCCTCATCCACGGTGACTGGTGCCCTGATGCAAATGGTAAATTTGGATACAGCGACAGACACACATAGAGGGAAGATGAGGTGAAGACAAAGAAAGAATACCATCTCCACTCCAAGGAGCAAGGCCTGCAGCAGGTCTTTCCCTCACAGCCCTGAGGACAAGCACCCACACTGTCAACACCTTGACTTCTAGCCCTCTTCAGGCTTCTAGCCTCCAGAAAGTTAGGAGTGGGATAAGAATGAGTTTGGGTAGATTATTATTTATAAGGTTACACTGGAAAGAAAAAAATCATCTTGAGGCTAGCTAGTGCCAAACTAGATGAAGCAAACTCAGTAAGAAAGTACATTCTAAGAGTAGTGACCACTGCTATGTATTACGGAGTTTATTTTTCGTTTGTTGCTTTTGTAATACATATAAAACTGGTCCAACTCCAGAGATTAACTTAGCTTGCTAAAGGCCCCAAACTAGGAAGGAGAATCTGGGATTCAGAGCGGGGGAACTCCCCGCTCCCGGTCATTACTTTTCCTGTTGTGTACTCATGGTTCTTTTCCAATGCTTTAATTTTGAAAACCACAGCCACGTGCTCTCTGCATGTCTTTCTCGGAGTGTAAAGGTATGAGTATATTCACTCATTAAAAACTTACTAAACATCTATTATGTTCCAGACGTTCTTCTTGGACTTGGGAATACAGCAGAGAATGAAACAGGCAACAAAAACAAGCAAGTAAGCAAACAAAAACTCCCTGTGGAGTTTATATTCTAGTTGGGGGAAGACAGGCTGTAAGCAAAAAACCATACAAAGCAAATTGATAAATAATAAATTCTAAAAGGTAATTAGTGCTTGAGAAAAAGCAGCTGATTCAGGGGCAGGAGGCGCAGGCATGGAGGTATGGCGGGGGCAACATGAAGTAGGGCAGTCAGGGCAGGACTGAGAGAGAAAGCAGCGTGTGAACACCCGGAGGAAGGGCCTTCCAGGCAGAGGGAAGAGCCGAGTGTGCTGGACGCATGGCAAGGAGGCCGGCGTGTGGGACGGTGTAAGTAAGGGGCAGAGTGGGAAAAAGGTCAGGAGGTAGGAGAGGTAACGGGGTGTCAGACTGTAGGCCTTTGTGAGGACGTCGGTTTTACTTTGATTTGCCAGCGGAAGGATATGCATGCAGGAGTGACATGATTTGACTTACAATGGAGTGGGATCACAATAGCCATGTGGGGAATAGATTGCGGGGGAGCACAACCAGGAGCAGGGAGACACATGGGTGAGGAGGTTACTGCCTTAGTCCAGGTGGGAGACGGTGGGGGCTCAGACCAGCGTGGTAGTGGCGCGGCAGAAAGAGAGCCAGAACCGCTGGATTTTAAAAACACACTCAATAGGATTTCAACAGATTGGACGTGGAATGTGTAAGATAAAGTCAAGAATGGTTTCAAATAGTAGCTCATCCTAACGCCTGTACTTTATTGTTTAGAGGTGACTTACAAGACTTTAGTTTTTTTGTTTTTTTTTTTATGGTTTACTTTTAGGACTTAAAACCAACACTTGCAGACCCTGGGAGACATTTGAGAGCAACGACTGTGTCTTATTATCTCTGAATGAACCTTCTAACCAGAACATTGATGGAGTAACATACACATGGTAGGAATTTAAGAAGAGTTTATAGGATGAATGAATAAAGGAATGAATGAATAGATGAATGACACATGTGAACATATGAATGACACATCTCATTCCTGACAAGAAGGCTCTGGCTTTGAGGATAGTTGGTACCAGCGACGTGTCAAAAGACAATACACCATGAAGAAAAACTTGTTCAAAGAAATAACACCATCTGAATTTGAACTGAATCTTACTTAAACTAAAAAACAGCAAATTGATATTAATTGTCTAGACATCAATAGAACTGGAAATAGAATTTATGAAACAGATATATTATAAATTCGTTTTTAAAAATGTTTTTATTTTCAAAGGTAACTACTCTTTCAAAGAAAGAACAGAAGCTCCCCGCAGGTATCTAAGTCTGTTCAGGGATGGAAATTAACTGAGAGTGGTCCACCAAGACAATTAGAAATTAAGGAAAGAAACTCAAAATATGAATAATTGCCAATTAAAGATCAACTAGAAAGAAGATAAAACATTTCTGAAATAAGAACATTAATCAGAAAAGGGATGCTGAGAATCGGATCCAAGTGTCTTTTAACAGGCACCCATCTAAAGCATACATGGCATATAATGGTATAAGGACATGGGCAGCCGTGCGGCTGATTCTTAGCTCTCCTGACACTCTTGCAATGCTTGTAACTGAAAGTGTGCTAGTCTTAACACTTGAGGCCAAACATAGGAGCAAACAAGGTATATATACTTATAACTAGACAGCAGGTGTTGGAGAAAGCCTTCTGAGATTACGTCCGCTTTCTACCTTCTGGTAGCCAAGCTCAGAGCGATAATTGACTGTTGTGCTTGGAGGAGCTGAGAGGCAAGTGGGTTATTTTTAAAGGTCTCCTGCTGTACTCAAAAAGCATTACTTCTAGTGTAGTAGAAGCTGAGTTCCTTTATGTTCTAATGCTCTCTATATAGGTGATAACATTATTAGTCATCCCTTATATTGAAGTTCTGGACAGGCAGATGAAAACAACTAACAAAATAATCTTCCAACAGCAGACTCTAGTGAATGTAATGAATATCAGTTATTACAAACATTGTTGATAAATGTATAAGATCTAAGGGATTATTTTAGCAATAATGGTAATATTATTTATTATAAGCATCAAATGGAGTTAATCTTGGTGCTAAAATGTTTGAAAATAATGGTAACTAATTTCCCTGTATTAAAAATAACATTATTTTTTCCTTTGATTTCTTTCTGTGCTATAAACTATATAAATGCATGCTATTGGGCCGGCCGAGTGGCGCGATGGTTAAGAACTCGCTTGGGATGCCGGAGGGCCCCCTTTCCCCAATTCCCCAGCACTGTTCCCATCCCCCCAATTCCCCAATAAAAATCTTTTTTAAAAAAATAAATAAATAAATAAATAAATGCTATTAATTTTTTCTTTTTTGTAATAATGAGTTTAGTGCTGCTGCTCTGGGGCATCACGAAGTGGTACAAACATTTCCATCTAATCTTATACAAAGACATTTTTATACAACTGATTAATGTCGCTAGTCAGACCATTCTCTGTCGATTCGTCAATTTCAGCTTAACCCATTTCTTTCCTCCACTGCCAATGGGAAACATTTCACCCTTCACTGCATTTCAGTGCTTTGATCCCATTATGTTACAGGCTGCAATTTAGTGGAACACTTACTTCATCCTTAAATACCTTTCCATGTTCTTCACACCCAGGTAAGCTCTGTATGAATTCTGACACCTGTCAAAAATAAGACCAAAATTCAAGTTTAAAAAAGAAGTCAAAAGCTAAATGCTCAAACAGTTTGAAATTGTTTAACCTATATGTTTTAGTTGCTTCTCTCAGAATAGTTTCTTATCTTTCAGAAAAAACGACCAACCCCCATTCCTTAAGCCAGTAGCACTCCCATATCTGACCCTTGGAAGACAAAGGAAACAAAATATACCTCGTCTGTGCTCCATTTGGACACTTTACTGGCAGGGATTCCAGCCACAGTTGGCAGCAGTTTGCTTTGCTGCTCCCAGCGCAAGGGCAGACATGGAATTGGGGACTTAAAGGACAGGAAGACGGCAGACCGACGCTGTGCCTGGGGTACGGCAGGCTCTTCCCGGGCACCTGGTCGATTGAAGCAAATGGGGAAATCACTCTCTGAAAAGCAGCAAAAACAAAAAAAGCTCCTAATGCCATGCATTTCCCCCAAATAATGAGGTGGGGGGAAGGTCTAGTTAAAGCATGGTTTCCTTTCAACATTATAGTCATTGAATAATTATATTCTCCTTTGTCTTTATGGAAGGTCACCTGAAGGTGACCATAAGACACAATGCAACTTACACGCTTGCTGTATCACCCACTGAAGACGTGCATCATTATGTCATTCAATATTTCATGTAAGAAATGTGCCTCAGAGCTTCAGTGGCGAGGAAAGGAACTCTCACCTTAGGAAATCATATTTGTTTCCCTTTCTGCTTTGGATGTCCTAAAGGTAACAGTCAAGATGGACTTGAGTCCAGCCCCTGTAGCTCTATACCTGTTCTTGCTTTTCGTCTCGGCCTACGTTTGCTTTTTTCAATTTTAATCACTTTGACTTTTTAAACAGCCAACTTAACTTTTTTGAAAAGGGATATGAAATTATTGTAATAAAAATAAAATGGCAGAAAGGCAAATGTTTTTGTCATTGTTCATTTGTAAAGATCAAAATTAAAGTATAGAATATTGTATTTATCTGCTAAGTCGTCTGAATTCAAACTGCGTTTACTGCTGCTCTCCTAAAACAGCCATTTTTTTAGCCAACGATTTTGTGTCCTGGGGACTCTTCGAGTTTGTCAGTAATGATCTATCGCCTTAAGATCCTCTAGAACAGAAATCGTTTCTAGAAACTCCTTACTCAAAGCCCATGAGAAGAAAGGCACCTTCCCCCTACCCACACTCACCCCCTCACACCAGCTCCGTTCCTGTGACACTTCAGTGACACCACAAATCTGCCAAACATTACGTAGTTTAGCCTTTAGATCTATAAGAATATTTTATGCTCTTCTGCATCTCTAAGGCTATTTTAAGGTTATTTTCCTTGAAGAGTACGATTTACAGAAAGGTGCACAAATCTTAAGTGTATATATAGCTCAAAAACTTTTCACAAAGCAAACTCACTGGGAATGATAAACGGAACAGGGCAGCACACCCAGGGCCTCCTGCATCACCTTCCAATCAGCCACACCCCTCCCCGACCTCTACCTCCATGGGTTCTTTATTCTGCTTAGGAATTGCATTGAGATAAAAACTCTGGTGTCTGGCTTTGTTCTCTCAGCAGAATGTCAGTGAGACTCATCCACGTGGCTGTATGTGGTTGTGGCTCACCTGCTGGTTGCTGTGTGTTTTTTTCATTGTTATACATGTTTCCACTATTAATGTGGAGTGCATGGACATTTGAGGTATTTTTAATTTGGGGCTATTACCAATAGTACTGCTGTGAACATTATTGGATATATCTTTTCTTGAATAAACGTATGCACTTCTGTTGCACATATACTGAAGAGTGAAACTTGGAGGTCACAGCGTTTGTGCACATTAAGCTTCAGCAAATTCTGCCAGTTTCCCATGAGTTGTAGATATGTATCCACTAACAGTATAAGAGTGTTACAAATGCTTCACAGCCTCACCAACATGTGGTATAGTCTATCTTTTTCATTTTAACTGATTTGATGGATGTGTCGTGGTATCACATTGTGGTTATAATTGCATTTGTCTGATGAAACTGATATCTTTTCTCTTGCTTATTGGCCATAAGAAGAATCTCTTTTGTGAAGTACTTATATATGTTTATGACCATTTTTCAATTGGGTCTTCTTAGCTTTTTCTTACTGATATTTCAAAGTTAGATATACACTATACTCTGAGTAGAAGTCCTTTATTAGACTTCTTTTCTACTTTCTTAATAGGGTCTTCTGGTTAACAAGTTCTTATTGTTTAATTTATAAATTTTTTCTTTGGTCAGTGCTTTGTATGTCTACTAGAGAAATCTTTGCTTATCCCAAGGCCCTGAAGTTAGTCTCCTCTGTTTTTCTCTAAATACTTTGTTTTCTCTTTCACATTTAGATCTACAATAGATTTGAAATTTATTTTTGTGTATGGTATGAGGTAAGGATCAATATTCATGTTTCTCCACATGGATTTCTACTTGCTCAACCATGGTTTATTGAAAAGACCATCATCATCTCCCCACTGTACCGCAGTTTCAGCTTTAACATAAATATAAATGTGTTTAAGATTCTCTATTCTGTTCCACTGGTCTCTTTACCCCAACCCACAGATTTTAATTTCTGTCACATTGTACGTCTACTGATATCTGTGATCTAGGTCTTCTTCAAGATTGTCTTGACTATCCTTCTCCCTTTGCACTGCCATATAAATTTTAGGATCAGCTTGTAAAATAAAAAATGCTAGGATTTAGATTAGGATTACCACCAAACATAGATCCATTTGGTGAGAAATAACATCTTCATAATATCGAGTCTTCCAATCTAAGAACAAGGTATATCCCTCCATTTCTTTGGGTCTTCTGTAACATATCTCTTTAATGTTTTGTCATTTTCATGTAGAGGTCTTTAACATCTTTTGTTAAATTTATTCCCTACTATTTTGTTGTGGTTCTTTAATAACTTTTGTCTTAAACTAGCCTAATCTAAATTTTGAATTGCTCTGAATGTTAGAAAGTAACTATGTTGAATTAAAAAAAAACAAAAACAAAAACAAAAAAACGGTCCTGGTTCTACCTGAGTGAGCTCATTCAGAAAAATGTATCTGCTCCACATGAAACATTTCAATTCTTCATATATATTTTTTTAAAAAACCATCACAGTCCCTCTTTACACATTTCATCAACAAATCTCATATAACTGGTTTTAAGGTTTTAGATTCTCATCCTGTTTTACTGAATTCCTTATAAGCCAAATATATAAACCTGTACCAGTTTGTTTTTATTCTTTTTAAATAACCCAGAGTTCAAGATGTTTTTATTTAGCATAAATATGGGGTAACTTCAAAACTCTCCTTATCTTCATATATTCCCGAGTTTAGCAATTATTCAAAATACAATATTCATAAATCTTTCAAGAGACAAGCTTATACGAAATGGTAAGATTTCCAGTTCCACACTGGAGTAAAACAATAGCTTACTTTATTATTTATATTCTGATTGCTTGCCACATAAGAAGGGTCAGTCTTTTTCAAAGCTATACACTCTATTATGGAACTGTTTACACATCCTATTAATACTTGCCATTGTTCATTCATTTAATCTAGGTCCATTCTATTTTCATTCTATTTCTTGCCAAAGGTGTATCATTTTCAGTTTATTTTCAATGCTCCTACATCATTATTCCTTAGGAAAATAACTGAGCCATTCTGAAGAAATGACTAAAAACCCTAACTACTAGGCCGGCCAAGTGGCGCGTTGGTTAGGAGTTGGCTTGGGATGCCAGCTCTGCGCAGCAGGGCCCTGGTTCAGATCCCACATGAGGGCTAGTGACGCTGCGCCCTCTACAGCTAAGATGGTGAACAACAGCTCGACCCGGAGCTGCGCTGCCGTGAGTCGCCGTCACCAGCGTAGGCTGCAGTGGGGCTGGTCAGCAGCTGGCGTGCACTTTTGTGAGCTGCCGTGAGCCACCGTGAGCAGCAGTCCAATGGCCGGCGAGCGACGGCCTCACCCGGGAAGAGCACAATGACAATACCAACAAGGGCCAGTGAAGTGATGTCCTCCACAACTAGACTGAAAAAAAGGATAGCAACTTGTCTGTTCCCCTTCCTCGATTCCCCAATGCTGTTCCCTCCCCCCAATTCCCCAATAAAATCTTTAAAAGAAATAAAATAAAAATAAAATAAATAAAAATAAAAATAAAAACCCTAACTACTGTATTTCTGGTAGCTTTGCATGTCTTTGAAGCTGATACTATAAACAGGCCTAGATAATCACACATCACTCCAATCCTAATACTAACTTTGCATCCTTCGTTTTAACTCTCCTTCCTTCTGCTGATTCTTTCATGCTGACTGATACCCTAGAGCCCAGTGTTATTTCCTGATGAATGAGGCAAATATAGTATTTACCAGCCACACAGCATGCCATCTCTTTGGCAAAACAATAGTAATGTATGTGTTTACCCAATCCAAAAGGGTAAAGAAAGAAAGCAACTTCATTTGAGTGCATGTGTATTTGATTCCTTAAACTGTATGGAAATGGGACTGCAGGTTTTAACTTTAGCATGTGATATAGACCAAAATAAATGGCAATAGACATTGGCTGAAGTAGCTACCTCAGTGCCAGGAGTAAGGAAGGGCAGGTTCTAAGGTGCACAGTGTGCTTCAGAAAACAAAGTCTTTTGTTCTGGAAGACATTTCTGCCATGATTCTACTAGGGCCATATTCCTTACCACCTACTCTCAAAACTATTTACCTGCATGAAAAATAATCCTTTTTAAGGAGTTTTCCATATTTTTTTAAGTTTCTTGAAATGAAAATTTACCAAAGGTATGGTCAAACATTTCCACCCCTGCCCCCATTTGGGGTGTTGTACTTCCACATTTCTTGAGTTCTACTCAATTCCGTATCATTGAACGCAGAACTGACTGGGGTGATTTCCAGTCCTTGCAAAGGTAAAATATCATCATTAAATTATCAAATTAGCTTTTAATGTTTTATGAATATCAGGGACATATATTTCTAGTGTAACCAAAGGAAGTGAAGGAAGGAGGAAGAGGAAGCAAGGGACACTCTCAACAAAAACAATACTGACATTTTAGGGATGTATGATCATCAATGGCCCCTCTTCCCAATTAAAAAAAATGATCTTTCTTTGGTATTTTTTATTTCTTAAAAAAAAATATTGTATTCTAGTTTGCTTAGAAGAGAAATAAATTAGGAGAGTGATGCTTAAGCAAATGTAGGTAAAAATATTTTAAGCTGACAGAATGACTGAAGTGACTGTATAGTAGGAATTTTACTTCTTCCTGATTCTTGGTCCAACAATTGAAAAATTTGTGGAGCTGAGGGTGTCACCCTCAAGAGTGGCAAGATGAAAATTAAGAGAAACCTTACAGTACATTAAAATGAGAAACAGTACA